GCCTCCCAAAGTGCTGGGATTACAAGGAACCACCTCGCCCAGCCCACTGGGCTTTCTTTTTCCCTTTCCTAAAGGAATTAAGTCTCAGTTTAGGCAGCTTTACTAAAAATGGACACAGACAGACAGAAACATCAGGTGTAGGCGCATCTTATTAAATAATGCCAAGAGAGAAAGGAACAAAATTACACGTGTCTCCTTTCATCCCCCCACCCCCTCCTGGCCTTGAATGGTTTAATATCGAACACTATTATCAATATAATTAACCTCCTAAGACACAATTCTAAAGTCTTGTTTTTTTAAAGCGATTTACATTCTCTGAAGTTCAGGACATCCCGCCGCCTGGCACCAGCACCGCCCAGACGGCCTATGCAGTTAGGTGCATTTATAGTGGATTTGCATACCTGTCTGCAATTACCGCTAGTGATAACAGCTGATGCATAATGCATGCAGCATGAAATTAGAAAAATAATTAACTTTAGGTCTTAAAAGAATCCCCGCCCCAGCCCCTATGCATCAGAAGCTCTAAATGATACCAGTGGACGGGATCCAGAGCAAAGTTGTTTGGGGTGATGGGTGTGGCTGGCTGGCACCCTGCCCTGGTGGGAGCTGGAGTTAGAAAGCCCTTGAGGGCCATGGCATCTAGCCCCTGCCCTAAGGAGATGCCTCTGGTGGGCCTGCAGTCCCTGGGGCATCTGCCTGAACTAGGGCTTGGAAAAGCCTCATTCACACAACTCAAGGCTCCCCTCTCTTCTTGCAGTTCATGTCTGGGGCTCGGGGAAGCACGGCTCATTGCTAGTAACAGTAATAGTCCCCTCATTCTGAATACGACTCTGCTAAGCATTGAAAGAAACCTTACTTTATCTCCACAAGAGCCCAGGGAAGTAGATAGTTTATGGCCACATTTTGCAGATAAAGACTTGAGACCCCTGTAATCCCAGCACTTTGGGAGGTCGAGGCGGGCAGATCACCTGAGGTCAGGAGTTTGAGATCAGCCTGACCAACATGGAGAAACCCCATCTCTACTAAAAATACAAAATTAGCTGGGCTTGGTGGCGCATGCCTGTAGTCCCAGCTACTCGGGAGGCTGAGGCAAGAGAATCACCTGAACCCAGGAGATGGAGGTTGTGGTGAGCCAAGATCGTACCATTGCATTCCACTCTGGGCAACAAGAGCGAAACTCTGTCTCAAAAAAAGACTTGAGACCCAAGGCCACCCCACAGTAGGCTGAGCTGCTGGGTTGAGCCAGGCAGGCCCCAGGTCTACTTGCCTTCGCAGGAAAGGGGCTTCCTGGGAAGAAGGAGGGGAGCTCTCCCTGGGTCTCCCTGAGCACCAGGAGGCAGCGGCCTGCCCTGTCTACCTCCTGGCCCTCTTCCCACTGTCTTGTTTGCAGTTGAGCCCCCAGGAAGGTGGGGTCTCTCATTAATTTAAACAAAGGTTTGCTGAAGCCCCGTCACAGAGCTGGAGATGATTGTGCCTTGGTGGGGCTTCCTGTCTAGTGGGAGGTGGGACTGGGGTCCCACTGGCCCTTCCTGCTCTGGAGCTGAGAAACTGCTTCTGCCCACAGTCTGCCTGCACAGCATTCTCAGTGAGGACTTGAAGGCCTGGCAAGGTTTAGGGGAAACACAGGAATTATTGCCGAAGGGAGGGACTGGCAGGGGAAAGACCCTTGCAAGAGACCCTACCTGGGGGCTGGGAAGTAGGGAAAAGCCAGAGGACCCCAGGGTCTGCAGCAGCCACACACCAGTGCCAGGCTACACGGGCAGCCAGATTCCTAAGGACAGTGGCAGGCAGGTAGGCAGGAAGGAGGCTGAGGGGTGAGTGGGGGTGGGG